GCTTTGCCAACTAAGCTCACTCCGTCAGCGCCGCGCCCTGTAACATATATGCGTGCATTAAGTCCTTGCGTAGAGATATTTTTTTTCTTCGTGCTCGCACAGCACGGTACCAAGCAAAAGCGCGAAGACTATTTTGTCATGCCGATGCGGTGGTGGCGAGCACGGTGCCTTTGTTTCCAAGATTCACGAGCGATACGCACTTTATTAAGGCAGTCCGCGCACGAGGGCGCGGCAGCAGACGGCTTGGTCGGTACACTTACATGCACTGCAACAGCGCTAAACAACTAAGCCACACGTGCTACTGAGCAGGCAGTACATGATTTGGATCGATTGAGATGTTTATCATTGGTAGGTTTGTCAAAATGATGTGCCGCCGCACTCATCCGTAGCCGCCATCACGCTTCCGTGAATTTCCATGCAGGCATCACCACACTCGCGTAGAAGTCGTAATAATAACCGCATGATCTACTCAGGCTCTTATCGCAAATGTGCAAAATCGTAAGTTCTTCATAGTGACATATGCGAAAAAATATTCGTGAAGATCGAATATTCGAAATTTTTTAATATGAGGTTATCGAATCGAATATGAATATTGCAAAGGCAATATTCGATGAATATTTGGAACTGTCGAATATTCGCACACCCCTTCCGCTTACATAACGTAAGTTGCCAAAGGAACGCATATACACCATGTAAGCAAAACACCATTCTCCAGAGACTGCGCATGGGCAAGATTTGTCAGATCAGCAGCCGCTCCATTTGTCGTGCGGCAGGGATGGAAATTTTCATCCCCTTAAATGTGCAGATGTTAACGTTCGCGGGCCAGCTGTGCTGACAAAATGAATGAGGAAAAAGAAGCTATTGCCGAAAGTCGCCGACTAACTTTTCGGAGTTTCTCGTTTATACGCTGAATCTCCCCGCATAACGGCAACCGAGTTTACGCTTGCTTTAGAAGTGATGTCTGAAACGTTCACAACTGGAATGTTGCACATGCACCATGCACGTCCTTTTTTTTTTCGTAGATGATGCAAGTCGTTGCTCTCATGATCTGAAAGTTCTTTTCATTTATCTACCCCTTTCAAAATATAACCACTGCAAAGCTTTTGATTGGCTCGGCAACAAAGCGCACATCTGCGGCCGCTACCGAGGAGGTGGTTAGCGCGCGTTAGGTCTAGCCTGCGGAGTTAAAATTTTGCGCGTCACTCCAGTAAGTTTTCCCTATACAATATGAGATTGGGGGCAAACAAGATCGCACTCACGAGCTCGGCCAAGGGTAGCACAGCATGCGCAGAACCAAATTTGGGTACAGGGTTAGGAGAACAGCCGCGACAACTAAAGCCTGCCAAGTTTTGCAAGTACACCTTTTGGTCGGAAAGGGGAGAGCCTGCTTCGTGAAGCCTCTCCGTTTGATGAACAGTACCTTCATTGACAGTTAAATGAGGTCGCACTCCTGTTCACTGCCAACTATGACGGTGCTACCTAAATGGTAGTATGTAGGTGTTCTTTGCCGCTATTTTGGGACACGGATGCAGGCGGCTGTTCGGCACGGAGCGTGCACACGAAACGCGCGGCAAGCTGCTGGAGCAAAGGCTTTTTTCACGCCTACATCGTCGTTCGCAACGTTTCGCAACGTTTGGGATGCATTCTTCTCAAAAGCGAAGCTAGGCAAAACGTCAGGTGTTCGAAAAAAAAAAAGAAATAACCTTCTGTGTCGTTGTTTATCATGCTGGCTGCTCACCACGTGCATTAACCTTCGCCCAGCCGTGCATGTTGTGAGCAGCCGCCGCCAGGCCACCAATGGAGACAATCCGCGCAGCCGCCACGCCGAGTTTGCCTGCTGTGGCGCGAGCAAAGTACCAGCGATGATAGGCCCATGCCAGATTTGCACGTTAGTTCTCGCACTGAAGTTTGGAGATTTTGGCATGGTCTGTGACAGGCTATGATTTGACTCTGTTTACGCCAGGGCTTTCCTTGGTGTGGACAACATCAGCCAAGAGTTAAGCACCAAAGGTCAACGAGCTTCTCTGTTAGTTAAGCTTTAAATGGCTACCATTCTTCCTTGGTTATTTTTTCCATGCCCCGCTCTTTGTTAGTTTGTTGCACATCCCCCCTTTCTCTGTAGCACCTTCGTTGTTGTCTCTTCCTTGCCAGCTTACTTTCGTTGAGAAGCGTGGTCATTACCGCTCTATTCTAAGCAGCATTACAACTGGTCTTTCATCTCGGGAGCTGCTCGGTAAGTGATATGCATATACATAGTTTTGTGAGAGGACCAATGCTAGTAAGAAAGGTCTGCTTTATAGCCGGTCCTGCACTATACGTGGTTACGCTTTGAGTAGTCTAAGCTGTACGTGCGTAAAATGAGATGAATGGCTTCCTAGTTACGCATTATTCAGCTGTTAGTAGTCACGATTTAAGTTTTCCCACTCGGCAATGACCTCCTAGCGTCTCCAACAGCCTTATTCCCTGCTTTAATTTACACGCTTGGTTGCTCGTAAAGCCTTTTTTTTTCCTGCTCCGTAAAGCACTTTTGGTGGCTTTAAAAACCTTTTTGTCTTCTCTAAAATACACTTCTGGCTGCTCCAAAAGCCCTTTTTTCTGCTCCGAAGGGTGCTTTTCGCTACTTTAAAAAACTGCTCCGAAATGGCCTCAGCCAATCACATTACTGCACTGGTGCTCACTCAGACTCAGATTGAGCCGTGAATGTGAGTCAGCCCGAGTGAGTAATGTTTTGTTGAGTTTGAGTGCAAGTGAGTCTTGTTGAAGAAAATTTTCTTCATGAAGAAAATTTGATCTTTATAGTTTGACATGATAGTAGATCTTGCTAATCTTTTTTTAACATTCATTGTCCTACCTTGATTAGATGTTATAGCAGCTTTAATTTTTATATCAGATTTGATTCATTTCTTACTCCTCTGCTAAACTGGAAGTGATAACTGTCTTCAGGTGGGCTTGAACAAGCACATACATGCTTTTTCATAAGGTTGTGTGGGAATAAGATTACCAGGTGAAAATTTGTTTCTAGTATCTACAGGAGCTTCAAGCTCTCAATACAGAAATTCAAACAGTATGGATGCACCCTTTTAATGCTGATGGATTTGTTCTAACGTTTTGTTCATGCAACTTCAAGTGCCCTTGTGGTGTGATATGTTTATCTTGTTGAAGCCGATTTTGTTTTAATGATTTTTTTATATGTGCCATCTCTCACAAAACCAAAACCAAACAATAAAAGTGCATTGTCTTGCTTTGTGTGAATTAAACAAATAATTTATTATTCAAAGTTTACTTACTCTCGATGTTTTATGAAGTGAAGTTCATCATCATCATCATCGGCCTGACTACGTCCACTGCATGACAAAGGCCTCTCCCATGTTCCACCAGTTAACTCGGTCCTGTGCTTGCTGCTGCCAATTTATACCCGTAAACTTCTTAATTTCATCTGCCCACCTAACTTTGTCTCCCCCTAACCCTCTTGCCTTCTGTGGAAATCCAGTTAGTTACCAATAATGAGCAGCGATTGTCCTGTCTACACGCTACATGCCGGGCCGATGTCCATTTTCTCTTCTTGATTTCAACTATTATATCCCTAACCCCCGTTGGTTCCCGAATCCACTCTGCTCTCTTCTTGTCTCCTAAAGGTTACACCTACCTTTTTTCTTTCCATTGCTCGCTGCGTCGTCCTCAATTTAAGCTGAACCCTCTTTGTAAGTCTCCATGTTTCTGCTCCGTAGCTAAGTACCGGCAGGATACTGCTGTTATATACCTTCCTTTTGAGGGATAATGGCTATTCACCTGTCATAATTTGAAAGTTCTTGCCAAATATGCTCCACCCCATTCTTATTCTTCTAGTTACTTCAATCTCGTGGTTCGGCTCTGCGATTATTATCTGCCCTAAGTAGACATAGTCTTTTACAACTTCAAGTGGACTATTACCTATCTCAAAGTTGTTCTCTTCCAAGTTTGTTGTACATACTTTCGTTTGAAGTGAAGTTAGTTCAGTTTAACTATCTAAAAGTTTAGTTATTCATTTTAAATTAAACAAAGAGTGAGGAAGGTGAGGAAAGGAAAAAGGGAAAAGGTAAAGCATAGCATAGTCATGTATGGTGTCATGCGGGCAGAACCACGTAATACATAGCCATCTATAGGATAGGAATGCGTAGCATGGTGGAAAGGGAAGTGAGAATGAGGAGCAGTGCAAGAGTGGGAATGAGGATAGAAGGTGAAGCACTGCACAATATAGTATGTATAATGGACGTGAGGGTGAGAAGTAAGGAAAGTGGGAGGGCAAAGTACATTGTAGCCGTGCATAATATAGTATAGAAAGGGGGTGTAAAGGGCTCTGAGAGTGAGAAAGAGGGAAAGGAGATAGAGGGCGGCACTGCATAACGTCACCTAGACTAGTTGCAAGGCTGGCACACCTTCTTTGAGATGCCGTTCACTTTGTTCAATGGAGACAAACATCGCTTGTGGTGCAATGGAATCCTTGTAGGCATTCGGTCAGTTGGCACTGTACTGAAAATTAGAAGACACGGGCAACAGCCTTACGCTCCAGGCAGAGTTCTTGTCCCATGCAGCCACAGGCAGTAACAAACTGCCCATCAGACAATGTCTGTAATGTCACAAAGGGAGCATGCAGGCTTTGAAACTAGTAAAGGTGGTGTTGCACTGCATCACAAGAATGTTTCCTTCCATGCCATAAATGCTGTGCAGTCTGCGTGTTTGAAGCACCAGCATTCACTTACCAGAGAACACAAGCCCATCTCTAGGTCAGGTGAATCACTGTTTCACAGTTTCTATTGCTTACAGGTTCAGTCCAACTGCATACTCTTTTCTTCTACCACTTTTATTTTTAATGTGTTTTTTCATGCCTTTGAACTGTGCATTGATAGTGCAAGGCATTTTTTGTGTGTTTGTGGGGCAAGTTCCGTTGTGTTTTGGCAAATATGATCCCATTGCAAAGTTGCAAGATCGTAATGGTGAGCAGTAAATGGCAAAACATGCAGGAATGCCATCTCAAATGCTGGTCCCGAGCCTGGAGCCCATTAAGCCTGTGTGTCAGGCGCCTGCTGCTGTGACTACACAGAAAGCCCAGCCAACACCGGGACCCATGAGTAGACCAAGTCTCAAAAAGGTACGCTCTGCAGGCATTATTCTAACCTTTCTTTTGCTATTTGCTAACCAGCCTTTTACATAATAAAATGTAGTTAATTATTGGGCTAGTTGCTTGCACTACAGAAGATAAGTTAGTGCCCAAATCATCTTTGTTATTATACTTTGGTTGTTGTCTTGATTTTTTGTCATGAAGGATGTTGCTCCTGCTTAAAAAATGCAGGAGCAAGCTATGCCTTGCTCAATCAAGACTATGTCAATCAATACTATGTCTGGTGAACTTATCAGAGCAGCAGCACACAACATGTTTTGCAAAGCTCACAACATCAAGGATGAGTGTTTGCCCTTTGTCAAATAATTGGAAAGGATGGTACTGATAAATATCTGAAAACAAGAGTGGAATTCGCCATGCCAGTTCAGTCAAAGTTTCTGCCTGGTTGGGCAACTGAACCACCTTTACTGGTACATTGCTCATTGGGAACAGCATGCGCGTCACACAAGCAGCTTCAAGGAAGCCCTGTCTAAACATACACTGAAAGGTATGCTCATTGGTACATAAAGAAGGAATTAACTGTGTAAAAATTATATGAACAATGGTGGAGGTGCTGTGCCATTTGTGCCATTTTGCGCCAATTTGACCTGCTGCGCCAAGCTGCGCCTAAACGGCAATTCGCGTGTGCAGCGCCAATTTAGTCGAGTTTTACTATCGATTGAGCAACACGCGTGTTCTACACTAAGGACGCAACCGCGTTCATATCAAGTTAGTTAGGTCACGCCTGTTGGTTGTGTTTCACTAGTCACGTCGTACTTCGGTTGTATTTCACTAGTCACGTCGTACTTCGGTTCATGCATGAATCTTGTTAAGGTGGCGTTTGTGAGCATACCTCATTATGCGACTCTATGTATGTTTGAACAGCAAAGCTGTTAGCCGAACCATATAAAGTGAAAAAAAAAAAAAACTAAAAATTATTTTCACTGGCAAAGCGATGACTGCAATAGCAAGAATTTGTAATGTTGTAATGCTAATGCCACACGTGCTCCTTTCTATTTCTGCTACCACACCGTTACGCATGTAACGCTGCCTTGTGCAAACCGCGCCCGAACGACTGGGAACAATCTAGATTATCTTGGAACCTTCCGATGAGATTACGAGCACGATGCGCACATTAGAGTTCGGGAACTTACGTGGCCGCTAGCGATAACGCCGGAATCTTTGATGGGACATGTATAAATGCCGACACACTTTGCTGCTTGGCTGACTATCGACGGCCAACGTTCTGGTTTGCTTGCTGGTATAGTGATGTTTCGTTTTCCGGGCACAGGTTCGCCCAAATGAAAAGTTCACTCGTGAAAGCAGTGGCTGCTGCCTTCGTCAATATCACGACCGCGTGACAATACGAAGGCTGAAAGCTAACACTGTTGCATCGGACATCGCGACACTCTACAAAACGCTGGTGTAAGAGAATAAGGACGACTGCTCCAGGGAGAAATGCTCTTATCCCACAATCTCTTCCCGTTGAGAGCTCGCCACATAAAAGGGTTTACGAGTCGCGCACTGATGCTTGTCGATAGCGCGCACCCTCGCCAGCTTATCGCAACCACGCCTTAAAATCAAAGTTCACCGCTGCTACTCGAACCCCCCCGCCCCCGTTTCTCCCGGGTCTTTTTTCATGCTCGTTCAAGGCGGGCAGCGTGTTTTATCTCTGCTTGAGCATTCGACGGCAGGTGTAACACTCAGTGGGACACTATCGCGTGCGCTGCCCTCCGAGCATGCAACGGAGATTGGCTGCCTGTTATATCTCTGCTTGAGCAGCGCTCACCACCACAGCTTGCGCAATCTTATGCACTACCCGGGTAGAACGTATGATGCACGGGAAATGTTACCAACTTGTAGTTTACGCGGAACAAAGCAGCGATGACAAAAACTCATCAAGTGTCCATATAGTTCATATCCTAATGAAAAAATAACTTAATAGGGAGTTTTAGAAAAGTGCACCGCGAGCCCTTGCGGTGCGGTCGTTGCCACTGCGCATGCGTCGTAACGCGAGCCGCCGTTCGAGTTCGCGGCCCGCCGCAGAAAATCCGAAAGAGCGGGTGGCGTTCGCGGCCCGCAAACGCTGGTTTCGAGGCAACTGTGCCGCTGTGGTCATGGATTGTGGTTTGCTGGAGGGCAAACGCTATTCTATAACTTGTATAGGCGACTTTGCGGGACCAAGAAAGTCGAACACGATGTCTTTGAGCAAGTGCTATGTGCACGTGGATGGCGAACAGCCGCCCTAATTGTGAGGTGACGGCACAAACTTATATGTATGTTACCGGTAAAACGGGCAATTTCTGCGGTAGTCGTGTCTTCTCGATGCTGTCGGCAAACCACTACCACGAGTTCGCTTGCGTTTGCATATAGCGTTCAGATTTCAATTGCTTAGATGCCAAGTTTGTTGCGCTGCTTTAAATTTATTTGGAGATCAGTGTGAAGAAACTAAACTTATGTCTGCTTTCCGAGTCCCTGGCATTATTGAAATTCGCAGTGTTCAGCTTCATAAGAAGTTCACTTTTGCAGAGGTTTTCATCAGATGTTATCAAGGTCGTATCGTGAGCTCAATGCCACCTTGGATTTTTTTCTACAGCTTCTTTGAAAGCATAATGATGCGCACAAAAAAAGTATTTTATGTCCACTTCAACCATTCATGTTTTCTGCCGCGCGTGTTTCATTTAGGATGAATATTCATTTCTGATAACGCAGCATGTTCACTGATTCGAATGTCGATTTAATTGTTTTGACAGCTCGCTTAGTCTTCGTCATAATGTACAATACCACTAGGATTGAGCATGTTTTTAATTACGCCGAGGTTCGCCCCCTGAGAACCACGTCTAATTTTGTGAAACCATCTAAAGTTTTATTGCTGCCTTGGTTCTTTTTTCCATTCCTCTTCGTAGCGGCAGCTGTATATCGCCCGCAGCGAGGGGGCATGCAAGGATATAGTATTTTACGTGTTAAAACCGTGATATTATTAGGAGGCACGACATGGTGTGAGACTCCAGATTAATTCCGGCCACCTGAGGGTTTTTTTTATCGTGCACATATATTTATTCGAAGTGTAAGGGGCGACGACGACAACGGAGAGAGGGTCCACACACACCAAGCGCCCCTTCTGTTTACATAAAGCGTCATTCCATGGTACGCTTCAAATATGCAATACCAAGACACCCTATCTGCCATTCTTTCACTTAAACCTAATCTCAATGCTACTATGTTACACTTTGATAGAAATGCAGCTGGCGTATGCGGGAATCTAACTCACGACTTTGATCCTAGCATGACGATAGTTATAGCGCGAAAACAAAACGACGACACAGAGACACGAAGGGCACGAGCGCTACCTTCCAACTAAGTTTATTGCGCAGAGCGCGAAAATATATAGAGGAGACAGTAACCATGTGACAAAGAACCATATGACACAAAGAGCACAACATGAGTAAGAGAAAAACAAAAACAAAAACAAAAGCACATAAAAAGGCAAAAAAATTCTACGGAAATGAAACAGAAAAGTAAAGATAATATAACTACTTGCGCGCACCAAAACCTTCGAACTTTAGTTCCTTCTCGGACAGAGACAAGGAGGGCTTGCTAATACAAGACACCTGTTCGCGAGCCATCTGCGTGGCCTCAACAATGACTCGGGTGCGCTCATCTTTGTGCTTGTACAGCATCGCTGTGTCCTTGAAAAGGGGCACACAGTTTCACTCAGTGCAGTGGTGAGCGACAAAACCATCATTCCCGTTTCTAACATTGTTAGCGTGATCTTTCAGCCGATCGTTCAGACACCTTCCGGTCGTTCCGGCATCACAAGCACCGCATGAAAGGGGGGTACTATAGACAACTTCCCGGGAGCATGCCGCATACCTGTTTCTATGTTGAACTCTGCATTCCGTTGATGACTGTGTTTTCAGGGGGTTTGTAGATTTATTGAGGCTGAATAATTTGAACGGTGCCGAGAACAGGACACCAACTCTAACTCGTTTTCCGATTTTCTTGAGCCTGTGTGATATCTGGTGTTTGTATGGAATCACGACTATCCTTTTATGCTCTGTATCCGTGTTGCTCGGGTTCTGTCGCTGCCTCTGCTCTGCCTTATTAGTCCACAGGATAGTCTCAGCAACAGAAGCAATAAACGCCTTGGGGAAACCCGAAGCCTTAAGCTGGGAAACTTGAGCTTTGAAGCTCGCGGAGATATTGTGGGCGCACGACCTATTTAAGGCATTCTCAAGACAGGTTCGTGCTATGCCTTGCTTAACTAACTTGCTGTGAGCGGAAGAAAAAAGAAGTAAAGGTTTCGGCGCACATGGTTCATAACACCAACACATGTGCTGTGAGCTAAAAAACAGTCTTAAATCCAAAAAGTGTAATTTGTCATTCTCGGGCATTTCATGTGTCAACACAAGAGGCTTTAAACAATCTTCACACACCCATCGTTTCAGTCGCAATCGAGTGGTACATAGAAGGGTTACAATTTAGAAGGGTTACAATTACACAGAAGGGTTACATAGAAGGGTTACAATTTAGCAATCGCAACAAAAAGCGTAATTTGTCATTCTTGGGCATTTCATGTGTCAACACAAGAGGCTTTAAACATACTTCAAACACACCTATCGTTTGAGTCGCAATCGAGTAGAACATAGAAGGGTTACAATTCAGAAGGTTTACAGTTACATAGAAGGGTTACAATTTAGCATCGCAACACCTCAGCCTGCTGACTTATTGGTTGGTTTTGCATGAAAGACCTGTACATATAAACGGTCAGCGCGAACACGCAGCATAAATCTGTTGACTCTGAGTGGCGACGAGATGTCTACAGCCATCAGTTCAATAAAACACTTGCAAGGCTCCTGGTACGGTTCAGCAAGCTAGCAAATTCAGCCACTTTCGCATTACATATGGTAGTCTCGGAAGGCCGATGCCCGATCTCGAAATGTACAGCGGTTGTCTATTTCCTGCAGTTTCAGTTTACAAATGCACTTCTT